ACAGCTTATTATTATATATATATCCTATAACAGAGCCCTTCTTTTTAGTCTTTTCGTTCCGAAAAGACTAAGTGTGGACTATTATTAATAATATGTAGTTAACTATATAATTTATAATAATAGTCAATATACAATCTATTATCCAATACTCTCACCATTAATAATCCTATTACTAATGAATTCAGAATATTTAATCATTAAGTAGAAATATCCTTATTCTTTATAAATCTATTTTCTAATTGATTATTAATCTAATTCCAATCAAAATATAACCAATAAAAGATTCCAAAATAATATTCACAAAATAAGATCCCTAATACTCTGTTACATAAGCAAATATAATAAAAGTTATAAGCTTTATCACTATACCATATACACAATCTATCCACAAAAGGCATAGTATCAGGAATTGAAGTCCTAATAGCTTACTACTATATATATACCCTATAACAGAACCCTCCCCTCTAATCTTTTTGTTCCGAAAAGACTAAATATAGATTATTACTAATAATACATAGTCAACCATATAATTTGTAATAATAATTAATATATAATTCATTATCCAATACCCTCACCATTAATAATCCTATTACTAATGAATTCAGAATATTCAATTATTAAGCAAAAACATCCTTATCCCTTACAAATCCACTTTCTAATTGATTATTAACCCAATTTCAATTAAAATATAATTAATAAAAGATTCTAGAATAATATCTATAAAATAAGATCCCTGATACTCTATTATATAAATAAATACAATAGAAATTATAAGCTTTACCACTACACCACGCACACAATCTATCCACAAAAGGCACAATATCAGGGATCGAAGTTCTAACAGCTTACTATTATATATATACCCTGTAACAAATATATTTAATAATATAATTGTTAATATATTCTCTTAGAAATATAATAATAAATAACTATTAATTATTTATTTTTTAAAAATAATAATTATTATTAAACTAAACTATAAAGTTTATAATAAAGAAATATTTGTAATTATTAAATCCCTAGATTATTAAAAAATCAAATTTATTAGATTTTTATATTAAATTAAAGTATATACTAATTATAAAGCTTTCGAGTACTTTATATCTATCAAACAGCTAAATATTTGATAAATGTATTAGATAGAATTATTTATCGATTATAATTTTATTATTATGTATTATATCAAAAAAAATAATCTATTTGTAGATACATTTATTTATTATATTAATAAGTTGGATTAATTAATCAAACAGGTTATTTCGATATTTTATTATAAATTAATCAATTTAAGAAATCAGATCTGCTTGTATCTATATTATGTATATAAATACTATAGTGCTTTAAAATTTATAATCTTTAATTATAATTTTTAATTTATATTAATCTTTTAGAAAGAATTCAATAATATTTTAGGAATGTAAGTCAAACTATTTATTACTTATTATTTATAAATTAATAGTTAGATTGAGATTTATAATTAATATCTTCAATAATGCTTGTAATCTTTTATAAACTATTATTAAAATAATTAATCTGAATTCTTATTAATAATAGATTATACTCAGTTTATATTTCCTTATAAATTATTAGATGATTAATTTCTATATAAAACTTCATATAATTATTTATTCTATAATCTTTAAAATTAGAAATTCGATTTTATTGTATTTATTAATAATTTGAATATAATTAATATTAAAGAGTATATTAAATGTAATAAACTGATATTCAATTGAATAAAAGAGAATATCTTGTGTATACAAAAAAAGATGTTTCAATTAATCAATTTGTATTATTGTTTAACTGATTTTGATATAGGAGATTATATATAGTTTAATATAAGAAACTTTTCAATATAACAATCTTTGAAAAAATTGGATTATTCAATTTAGAATCGATTCAAGATTATTAATCAAATCAAAAATTCCTTTCAATTGAATTTATTATTTATTATAAAAGTTTATCTTATATTTCTATCTAACAAATTCTACAAAGTAACAAATAATTCATTTTCTGGATAAATTATTAAATCATTGTCTTCAATAAATATTATTAATAATATTAAATGGAAAATAAAGTACATTCTAATTATTGAGAAAATATACTGATAGTTTAAATATAAAGTATTGTAACTAAATGCTAATAACAATTTTATTTAATACTTTATTTCCAATTTCAAAACTATTCTGTATTTCCTTTGTAATTTCTATTTACAAAATCTCTTTTTATTAGAACTTCTTATATGTTTATTTGAATAAATTTGTTTTTATAAGAACAAAAAAAATGATTACAATTTTATAAATAATAATCAATATATAAATAAAAAAAATCGAAAGAACTTTTTTTATATATCAAAATGATAAAGAAATTACAATTTTATAAATATAAGAAAAGTGATTGGATAAAAATTAAATTATTAAAATAATATAATAAGAATTTTTTTTTTATTTATTTTAATAATTTTAAAGTAAACCAAAAAGAAAGTTTTTATAGGTATTAATAGTTATGATTAAATGAGGTATAAAAGTTAAGGCTGAATGGTTTAAATTGAAATATTAATTAAATCCTTAGTTAATAGTAATAATAAATACATATAGGATAATTATAAACTAAAAAACAAAATGATTTTTAGTTATAGTATGTATGATGATAAGATTGAATTTGTGTTCAATTGTATATAATTATTTATAAATTGTTAAAAACTCTATTTTTATTTATATTATAATAAGTTAGTATTGTTGTTTTAACTTATCTTTTTGTATTATAGCTTTAGTTATATAATATTTTGTATTTTTTTAAATAAAAATAATAAAAAATATTTCTTTTAAAATATAATTTTTTAATTTCTTTCATAAATCAAATTATCAAAAAAGAATTGATTTTATTAAAAACTAACAAAGTTATAATTTACCTTTATTATACTATTATATTTAATAATAATTATTTGATATTAGAGAAATATCTTGTAAATTTTCTTAAAAAGTAAATGCTTATATTTATACTTATTAATAAGATAAAATAAGCAATAAGTTTAATTAAATAATTAACTAGGAACTCGATAGTATATATTATTCCCTTTACTGGAGATATAGTTATATATATAGTCTATACAAATCTAAATATTTTTCTAAATATATTATTTTTATTATAATATTATCTTTTTTGATAACCTTTTATTTAAAAATCCTAATTTATTAATATTAATAAAATCAATACTTTTGTAATAGGGTATATTAAATTTATAATTAGATTAATCTTAATATAAAGTTTTCATAATCTTTTTTCTAATAATCTTATATCTATTATTTTCAATATTATTAAAATAACATACCGCTACAGCTAATCTGTTAGCAAATTTCTTTTTGTAATTATTAATATAATTGATTAAAGGATTATATTCTTCCTTCGAATTTTATTTAAAAATATAATAGAATGGATATATTTAATAAATAAATTAAAGGTTGATTTTATTTTTAAGATTATTATTCTTAGCAATTATAATTGTATTTATTAGATAAACTGATTATATATTGAAAATAAATAAATGAAAAACCTTATTTACATTCCTTATTAGGATTTAATTCATTGTTCGCCTTATGAGAGTTATGATTATTCTTACAATAGGATTTCTTCTTTTTGGTAGATTATTTATTTTGTATAACAAAAAAAATAGTTATTCTTTTTATTACAAATTAAATAGAAAAATAAGTTAATAAAGTAAATATAGGAAAAATTATAAATAATTTATTATTGTATATATATTTTTTTATTATTGAATTTGTGTTAATAATAGCTTGCTTTTACTATTGTATTTTTTTTTAAAAATTGAAGATATATTAATCAAAAGATATAAAAAAATTGGTTGATTAAAAAAAATTTAAAAGAGGGAAAAGAATTTGATTGATTTATATATTTCAAAGGATTTGATTAATTATTAAATTACAAAATAGTTTTCTTTATTTTGTATATACCTTTTTATTACAAAAAAGAAAAATCTATATATATATTTGTTTATCATATCAATTTAATCAAATAATAATAATATTATTTTACAATCATTAATTTGATAGTTAAAATAAATAATTATAAAGTTTAAAGGTAAACTTTTTCGAAAAAGAAAATAATATTACAAATCGATATCTAATTATAATTATAATTATTTATATATATATATATGTAATTACATATACATAATTGATATATAAATATACTCAATAAGTATTTTACTCCCGATTTTGTAATTATAAATTTTAAGGATAAATTATACCCTGCCCTTATAGTTCTTTTAAGGCAAAGTGTTACAATTTAGATTATTTAGATTATTTAGATTATTTAGATTATTTAGATTATTTAGATTATTTAGATTATTTAAAATTCCAAAAAGATTATAAGAATTAAGAGTTTAAGAATGAATCTCTAATAATAATAATAATAATAATAATAATAATAATAATAATAATAATAATAATAATAATAATAATAATAATAATAATAATAATAATAATAATAATAATAATAATAATAATAATAATAATAATAATAATAATAATAATAATAATAATAAGCTTTTAATAAGTCTTTAATATTAAAGAATTAAAAATAAACTTTATTCTTTATTCTTTTAATTCTTTATTTTATTCAATTCTTTATTAAACCTATAATAAAAGATATTATTATATATAGATTATATGATTATATACAAATTGGATTCTTGAGTATAGAAAATATGATGTATGTTATGTTATATAAAAAGTCTGTAAAATTCGATGCATAAGTTTCTTTCGCTATGCTCCGAAACATAGGCAAAGTGGTCAGTAAACATCAGCCTGTCCCTATTTTCGCGTCCAATCCACCAAGCATGGTCGGAATGATTCTCTAATTTAGGTAAAGCAGATGAGGTCAGAAGTAACGCGTCAGCCTTGTGGGCCCACGTGCGAACAATTCATGCTAGCATACTCAAGAAACATAAGTTCTCGACCGAAAAGGACTACGAACACGACATGACTATGTTGTCTTACGATAGTGCTCCAGAGCATCTTCTCGCGCTAAAACTACAAAGAGAAAGCATTCTTCAACCTAAAAAGCCAGTGCAACAACCAATCGCCGTCGATAGCAACTGGGATTTGACTCATGCTAACGAAGATCTTTCAACCTTGAACAACTCTAATCGTTCGAAGGAGAAGACCAAGACGAGACCTGAGCAGCAAACTTCCAGTCAATTAGAAGCTTCCGGTGTGGAAAGCGGAGATGATCCTTCTCGAGAAAATCCACACCAAACCGTTCATATCAAGTCGTCGAACCTACCAATTCTTTCGCGTATGTTCCCCAAAAAAGTTGAAGAGTACGCTGCCAAGCCATTGGATTGGAGAACTTTTGTTACAGTCATGGACGACGCCGAATTTGCAGCAATGGAGTCTGGTGGCTCTGCTGTTACATTTCTTAATACTGTTAATGGTGGTAGGATAGTGTTCCACAAGCCACATCCCACTGCGAAGGTTGAACAATTTATGTTGCAGGCGTGGGGAAAACGATTAGGCCAGTGGTTTGGATGGACTAGAGAGTCATTTGTTGTTACATGAGTTAAGAAATCATGGTGAGATAGGGTATGCTCAAACTTTGGGTAATATTGTGCGGTTGTGGCTGAGGTAGAGCAAAGCGAAACGCGCATTTTTGTTGGTTGACTGTCTTAATGAATCCATTCTATGTATCCAGATAACCACCACTAGTTCTCAATTCCACAATTACCTCTTCTCTGTTTACCACAACACTAGGGGCAATCAAGAGTCCGAGATACTGTGTTCCTCCTTTCCTGTCATATAGATGATGGAAAACAATTTTAAATTAATTGATTGATCAGAAGAGATAACTCCGATGTTCAAGTGATAGCTTCCCCTAAGTTCCGGAATACTTCTATATTGGCTTTTAACCAAAGACTAAATAGCTAATATAGATACTACTACAGAGGACTGTTGCTGAAATTTCTCCGAAGCGGCATTCTTGTCGTCCATGAACCTGGAAGAGTGCCCCTCGAAAGCTTTCGATGTTTGTAAGTTAGCTGCTGGTTTCTTGTCGTCCATTTGCTTCTCTAGAACGTGCATTCTCTCCTTAAAGTAGCTAGGGCGACCATCCTCGTAGACAACTTCCAAGTTATCATTTTCCTTAAAATCCCCCATTGGAGCGCTGATCCACTCCCCATCCGCCATCAAAGCAACACTACAATGCCAAGGGGTTGTAAAACCAGTTTTAGTATCAAGTAGACTCATGGATATCTTGTGATCGCCTGTTGACTGATGGATAGAAAGACGTAAATGGTTGGGAAAAGCATATTTGACCGCTCCTGCAAAAGCCTGTTTTCGGAAATTTAGCAAAGGGAGTGGGATCCTGGGCCTTGGTAGTATTTTTACTTACATATCCTCGAATTAACATCTGCTTAGCGAGATATCTCACGTTTTTCTTGTAATTGGTATTACTTCGACCATTGCCAAGGGGGAAAATATATCGCAAATCCGACTCGAGGAATCTTCGATATCCGAGATAAGTCATTTTTGTGTCCGGGTTGTTGGCGATCTCATCTTCAATATTGATGCTGTCTTTGCCCCATCTATTAATCATAGATAGACGAAAATTGGTGGCATTGGCAACGTAAGTGATCTCGTCTAACTTCTCGGGCAATGAAAAATTGACAAAGTCTTGGATTCTAGAGAAGCCAATATGGTCGAAACCTTTATTGACAGACATTGCACGCAAGGCCTCTCCGTATGCCCATGTATCGCGATCTGATATGCATAGTAGATCTGGTATTTAATTAGCCAGCAGTTTGAATGAAGCCCGGTAAAGAATAGGTAGGAGATAGACGAACCATTATAAACGAGTCCATCTGAAATAATTGTACACTTAGCTCCAGGCTGGAAGACTTCTCCAATGCGCAAACACATTGTATTCAGTCGATCAAGAGCAATCTCTTCGGCTTTGTCAGGTAGAATACCGAAGACCTTATGCACCTTGTTTGATGACTTGAAGGGAAATGCCGGAAGGCACATTTCCACTGGTGTTCCACTGCTGACGAACTTCTCGATGACTGACAAAAACTTGGGCTTACCCGCGCTATGTTGATCCTTGGTGTCATCGAATTTATTGAGGGCGTAATCAAAGATAATATCCAGGATTTCGTTGCATACCACCGTGATGGAAGGATTAGTGGTAGATGACATCGTGGAACACTTCTCCATAATGAAAGACTTTTTGAACCACATGATAGTACCTTGACACAAAACAGAGGATTCGACCTGTATTCCAAGCCAGATCTTGTGGCTAAGAATATGTCTCTTTGAAAGTAGTTCGTACGTGTCGATTGTATAATTGATCCTATTCAATGCACAAGAACAAGACTAAAAGCAATGATATGGAAATTGATATCTGTCAAACACTTCTCGAGCACGTCTATTATATATTTCAGAACTAGAAACAGCCTCACTTGGGGTAGCTATCAAAACGTTCCATCATTGTCAGTAGCAGCCTTGAAACCATTCCATAGACAAACTCTAGGTAACAGTTTTTGAAATTCCGCAGCCGCATAGAAGTCAAACCAATGACTTTCTACGATCACAGCGATCATTGCTAAGTTTAGTTGAGTTCACGCTCAAACATAGTGAAGTGGATATCAAAGTAGTATTTTGGGACTTTATGATGTAGCTCGACATCTGTCAAAATGAAGATTCGGATTTTCGTGCATTGCAGGTCGATTTTGAGCCAAATCCGGCCTCCTTAGCTCACCCTTTTGATTTTTCGGATGTCCAAAAGGTTCAAGAAGGTGGGTATTGACTGATATCGAACTTGTATGGTTTGCAAGAAACTTGAATTTGAAGATCTAAATATATCCAGATGCCAAATTTATCACCAGCCTACCCGCTTCATCCCTCGGCTCGCAGGCTCATGTACTGCCGTAAAGCCACCAATACGGACCCATGACTTCACAGGCTTCTCATTTCTGCGTATTATAATTGATAATTGAAAGTCGTACAAAATCTCATGGAAATCACGAAATGAACCGAGTTCTGTCATGCGGGTTCCCGCCTGGCCCGAGTTACACTTTCGTCAGCCGCATAGCCTCTTGGTGAATGTCACCCGGTGGGGTACATATTTTACCATTACAAATTTGAAATTACCATTTTTTGTCAATGGACGCACAAAATTTATCTGCACTGGAATACATGTATTGATCTCTCTGTAACCACGCAAAACATCAGTATTATTGGCTTTGCATTTCCTTTTGAAGATTGATCAAACATTGGTAAATCCTGTGCTTCAACATTACCTATTATCAGATCTAAAACAGTGTCCAATTATAGCAAGGAAACTACTTACAAAATTGTGAATGATTTCGCTGTCGCCGAAGCAGATCGTATGTCATTCTCAATGGCGAAATTCTATGATCTGCCACATAAGTTTTGACAGACCTTTGTGCTTCCACTTTTTCCAAAATTTGGACATAAGGGGGAGACAGGTAAGTATTAAACACACAGACAGACTTCCGATACAACTGATTGACGATATAGGGGGGCCTATTAGTCACGAATGGAACTTTGAAGCGTACTCTGCAGATGTCTGACCATATGAAGATAGTTTCCGACTTACCACGTTGAACTAGAGTGCTACGAAGGCTGGTTGTGTTGTCGCCAAGCTTTCATCTGGCTGCAGCGGATGACAATTACATATCATTCTCACATAGGACTCGTTTACTATTGAAACAACAGTGTTGATGACAATTATCTGTCTCAATTGAATCAAATCGCGGTCAGTATATGGCTTAACCTCTACGATCTTCCAGTTTATATCGTGCTGTTTTGCCCTACTACCCAAGCTAAGCTGGCGATGGATTGACCTCATCATTAGCGATGAGGACTGAGTCTAACCAAGGGGCTCCTTCCGCATGCTTCCGGAAAAGTTACCAGTTTTCCTATAGCACTTGTGTGTTAGAAACTTCGTCAAGCCCGTTTTTTGAGCTTCCAAAGAAGCAAGTGACGATTGATCGTGGTTTCATACGGGCAACGATACAATGTTCAATTGAGCACGAAGAGATTAGGGACAAAGCACGCTGCCGCTGATTTCTGACTCATGATATTAGCCAGGAGAAATTAGGCAAGCTTACTTCCGGAGTCAAAGAAAAGAAGCAACCTTTCCAAGGCGGATAGCTATCAGAGTGGAAAGGTAAACAATTGGCTCTCTCGGCGAAAGTTGGTTTCGGAAAACTTTTTTCGCCTTTGCAAAGCTAGGGTCTTTAAAAAACCCGTATAAACCCCATCTCCGCCAAGTTGACAGCCGTCCTTTGAAATATAGTGGCCGAGAAAACCGTCTAGCTATCTTCTCAGATAGATATAACACGTACACAGTAGCAAAAGAACCCGTTACTTTCTATCCTCCTTGACCATAGAAATGGCGTTTCAGTAGCCTGTGTGGGGCACAGAGAAAGGAAGGAATCTCATTAGTTGCCAAAGTGCGGCTAATTCGAATCTGTACTTAAAAACTTCCTCAAACTTGCTCATGCTTCAGTTTTCACTTGGTTTTAATAGATAGCACGATTTATCTCCGGTGTGCCATCTCCCATGACAAGTAATCGGCAACTGCAACGTGAAAATCTTCAGAAATTCAGTATTAGCTCGGGCTTCAACTTTGTAAGGTTACCTAGCTATAGAATCTGAAGTCTTTAAAATTTGATGTCGTTGCTGTGTTCAAAGACGCTTCGAAATGATTGAGTGAGAAGAAAATCTCATACACTGTTATATCCATCATCAGATACTATTCCCCGGCTAGAAGCCCCTGTACAGAAATCGAGCATATTAGCGCAAGTATAATCATGAGTATGCAAGCTAAATTCCTCCTGCATTGCTACCAGAAAATACCTATATATCTTTCCTCGATTTCCAGGATGGGATTAAAGAACCAACAGCTCCGCTTGTTGCTCAACTCAACTCACAAGGGGTTTTCATTTGTTTCTTATTTCTGCCTCGGACAGCTCGTCGTTCATGCATAATAAGTCTGTCAAAATTTCCAGACGAGATGATTATGATACCTCAGAATGAAGCCTGTACTGAGGGGGACCCTAAGAGGCGTGAGATTAGCCAAAATACCGTTGATGTCAATTCCTGCGAACGACAGGTAGACAACACATTACAACAAGGCGTCCAGGGGATTGAGACCGTAACTAGGACATGGTCGAGGACTTGGTTCGTCATCGCTTATGTTATGATCTGGATCACCTAATTCGTTCAAGGTCTGGTGTCTGGCGTCAGCAGTGTAGGCAATAGTATTTCCCATAATCCGTATACGGGCTAATAGTCGGCTCTTCCAAGCGGCCGACTAGTTCCTAGTCGGGGAAAGCGAATGTCCCCGGAAAGCGAATTGTCCCCATGAGATTTTGGTATAGATTTTGTGATTTTACTGAAAAATATTTGAATTTTATGAATAATCTTACAGGGACAATTCGCTTTCCCCGACTAGGAACTAGTCGGCCGCTTAGAAGAGCCGACTGTTAGATAGTAATACAGTAAGTGCTAACTGCTATTCAATATTATTTTAATATTGAATATCACTAATAAGATATAGAAATACGGATTTCTGATTAGTATGAAATAAGCCGAAATATACGAATTTGAGGTCATTTTTAAATTTCAATGATATAAAATTATATATTCAATTGAATTATTATTAAATAATAATAAACTATTTATATTATTCAATATTTTAATCTTTTTGATATCTTTAAATATAAATATCAATATCAGAATATTATTTTTATAAATTGGATTGTTTTGAGAGATTTAGAGATAATTAATAAAATAATAAATTCATTGAATTTCTAATCATTTAATAAAATTGAATTCTTAGATAATTATTCTTTTTATTATTTTTTTTCTATTTTATTTTTGATTCTTCAAAATGTTTTCTATTTATATATTTAATATTCTATATTCTATTGGTTTTATTTTCTACAAAAATAATTCTCAATCTAATTAATTCCTATTTTTTTACAATTTTTCTATTTTAATTGAATTTATTAAATTTTAATAAAAGATAGGATTTATTCTTATGAATAATATTTTATTATTATTTAAGCTTTATTGAAATTAATTTTGATTTTTAATATTATCTTTTATATATTTTTAGATTTTTTTATTTTAGTTTTTCCATATATCTTTATAAATATCAGTTGTGAATAATATTTATAATAATAAGTTTTTAATTATCAAATATATATTAGCTACTATATTAAAAGCTTTATATACGCTACTGTTTTATTATAGTATACTATTGCCTACACTAGGTGTTAGTGGCTCTCTCCTTCTATACATCACGTCGGAATTTGCTTTACACTCCCTTACGCCTACTACAAGCATACTGAGCGCTGTTTTTGGCGGAGTGACCAATATAAGCATTGCGAAGGTTCTGGATATCTTTGGTCGTCCTCAGGGATACATTCTCTGTGCTTCGCTGTATACTGTCGGCCTTGCTATGTCAGCCAGTTGTAACAATGTCGAGGCGTACGCAGTATCTCAAGTCTTCTACACAGTTGGAATATGGTATAGGATATAGTCTGAGTGTCTTCGTCGCAGATACATCCTCCCTACGGTATCGAGGTCTGATTCAGGCATTTGTCAGCTCCCCTAATCTGATCACTTGCTAGCTAAGTGGGCCGATATCAACAGCTTTTTTGAATGGACCTGGCTGGCGCTGGGCCTATGGAGCGTTCGCCGTTCTTGTTCCGCTTGTGACTTTTCCGCTATCTGGCCTTTTTATGTGGCAGTTTTTCACAGCTAAGAAGCTGGATCTTATACCAAAGAATGATAGTGGTCGCACTACCTGGCGGTCTAACATTTATTACTGCCGGGAGTTCGATGCTGTTGGTCTCATTCTAATATCTACTGTCGTCGTGTTCTTTCTATTGCCATTCAACCTTTACACTATTGAGGCCAAGGGATGGGGATCTTCCCTTATCATCTGCTTCTTAGTTTTTGGAGTCGTATTGATTATCGCTTTCGCCATATGGGAGAAGTTGTTCGCCCCCATATCGTTCATTCCATGGTCACTCCTCAAGGACCGTACAGTCTTTGGTGCTTGCCTCCTCTCCTTTACACTATTCGTCAGTTACTCCTGTTGGGTCAGTTATTTTACCTCTTTTCTACAAGTTGTGAACAGCCTTAGTATTACCGAGTCCAGTTATGTCATGCAGACGTACACTGTCGGCGGTGTCCTGCTCGCACTCGTCACTGGCGGTGTCATCAGCTTTACTGGACGTTACAAACCCATTGCACTTTATTTTGGTGTTCTAGTCACGATCCTGGGCACGTCGCTCCTGATTTACTTTCGTCAGACTGACCAGAAAGCCGGGTATATCGTCATGTGTATGATCTTGATTTCGTTTGCAGAAGGGGTCTTGGTCATCTGTGCCGAGATCGCCATCATGGCCGCCGCCGCAGAGCAGCAATATTTCGCCGTCCGTCTGGCTTTGTTGGGCTTGTTTGGAAACATTGGTTCTGCTATTGGTTTAACCATATCGGCTGCTATTTGGCAGAGTACATTGCCCAAGAAGCTTTTTGCAAATATTCCCGATATAGACCAAGCAGATCTACTCCTAATATATGAGTCCTTACCGATGAAATTTTCATTCCCACCAGGAACGACTGAGCGCCTTGCAATTCAGCTCGCCTATAGTGACTCGCAGGAGGATTATTGATTGCTGGTACCGTTGTCTGGGTTATCGGGTTAGCGGCGGTCTTATTGTGGCGGGACATCAGGGTTATTGGTATTCGCCAGACGAAGGGCCAGGTTGCTTAAGCGATAAGTTCAATCTCAATACATAGATTCTCTGCAATGACTACATGCATGTAGTTTCTGGTGCTCCCATCAATAAGATATAGTAATCGTCTGTGCACATCAACTCTTCTGTGCTCCGTTGGATTTGTAGAGCATGACCATTGTTTCTGTGCGATTTCCGAAACAAAGGGCATTAAAGGGAGATATTGCATCTCTTCCGTCCTGAAGTTTGAGGATCTACCGAGGCCGATTTGAATTATTTGGCCAAAACCCCAAAAATAGAATTCTGCCTAATGAAAAAAGAAATTTTAGAATCTGTATAGTGTGTTTATAGAAATCTTATAAAGAGAAATAAAATTCAACCTTATTAAAGATTTTTTGTGAAACAAACTAGACCATCGAATAGTCCTTAGGGCTAGCTTTATTTATATGTTTTTAGAATCCATTTCGAAATTTCCTATAGGAAGTATACTAATATTTAAAATCTGATATATAACTATTTTCGAATAGTTTTCTTTGTAATGCATAGACTACTCTGGAATAAGCGAGATAAGCTTAGTAAGAGCTCTTTATCTCAAGCTCGAACTCAAGTTTATCTCGTTTAAGCTGTATGACTAATATAGTTTTAGTTAGTTTCTATAATATTGAAAAAAAATTCAATCCAATATACAACCTTAAAGGAGTTTATAAAATGAAAAGAAAGATGGTATAACTATTAATTAGAATTCAAGGAATCGATTGATATATTTCTTTTCAAATTATCTCAAAAATTGAAATTTATATTTAATATAATAAGATTCTGATTACTTAATGGATCTGTTTCATATTGATATCTCAAATATTAGGTATTGTGACTAATCAAGTCTCAACTACCTAGTAATCTCTAGCTCATCTCTTTGATAATATAGAATTTCTTAAATTTAGTATACAACTTTAAACAAATTGATGAAATAGAAGTAAAAGAGACTTGATTATTATTTAGAATTCAAGGAATCGATTGATGTATTTATTTTCGAATTATCTCAAGAATTGAAATTTAGATTTAATATAATAATATTTAAAGAATAAAAGCTTCAGTATTGAAATTAAATTATCTGCCAAATTTTCAAAATACTTTTAAATCAAATATCAATTTCAATTTTTGAGATAATTTGAAAAGAAATATATCAATCGATTCCTTGAATTCTAATTAATAGTTATATCATCTTTCTTTTCATTTTATAAACTCCTTTAAGGTTGTGTATTGAATTGAATGTTTTTTGTATAAAAGTATACCACTAAATTCTAAATACGATTTAAGTTCAGGCAAAATTCTATTTTTGGGGTTTTGGCCAAATGATTCAAATCGGCCTCGGTAGATCGAAGCTCTCATTTCAGGAACAGGCACTTTGTAACCACAAGATAAACGAAAGCTTGGAATCGGCTGACTCGTTGCAATTCAGCAAGCGGGTCCAAAAGATTGTTTGACCCACCACGGAGTTCTTGAACTCATCAAAATAACTCCATATGATTATCTTGTTTAATCAACATACAAGATCGAACTTAATTATCGCATCATATTGATCCATTCAATCCTGCAAAGTTGTTGAGCATGATAAAAACAAGAACGAGTCTCCAATTGCATTGGCATCAGTTCAAGGTCTGATGTCGATTAGTAACGAACACAGAGGTCTTGGCACACCTCCACAATAATTCTACCTGAAAAGCAGGGGGCCATTGCCTTAAACAAGTTAGATTAGGTTTGTAATCGAATCTTTCAATGTCAGCACATTCCAAAATAGCTTCTGCATCGCCATTATCATATTTAACAGCTGAAGAAATTGAAATGACCTGACGTAATCAGCCTCGAATTTACTATACAATATTGCAGTTGCCAAAGACTATAAATTTGCAATAGCGTTACCCACCGGGTGAGTGTGTAAATACAAAAATCGTGAATTCAGTGCGTCTCAGAATCCCCCCCAAAAAATGATAATCATTCTGTAATAGCAAAGTCAATATCTATATATGAAAAAAATATTAGTATAAATCTTTATATTAATATTTAATATATATATTATAGAATTCAAACTTTTTTCATTTTTAATAAAATATATATTTTTTTAATTATAAATCTTTTTTATTCAAAATAAATATTATTTATTATTAAATTTTAATAAATATAAAGAAAATAAAAACTTTTTAATTAAAAGATTTTAAAAAAGATAAATAAAAAAGGAGTAAATATAAAAAGTAGAAGAAAGAAAAGAATAAATAGAGAAATTAAAAGAAAAAGGAGAATAAATAGAGAAGCAAATATAAAAGTTAAAAGAAAAAGGAAATAAATAAGAAAGTTAAAGAATAGAAAATAATATTAATCGAAAATTTAAAAAAGAAGAGATTCTATATCTTCTTATTCATTTTCAATTTATTTTTTAAATAAAAGCTTTATTATTATATTATAAATATAGAATATATTATTTAAATAGAAATATAAATCAATTCTAATATATATTGTTATAATTAATAATCAATTATTAATCGAATTTAATACAAATAAACTTTTTCACTTTCAAATAACTTTAAACTAAAATTTTCGAAAATCAAGAAATTTCGAAAATTTCTTTAAATTCTTTTAAAATAAAATTTTCTAATTATATATATATATAAAAATCAATCACACTAATACTATATAAAGCATTTTATTAATATAATATCAATTATTGAAATTTTTGATATAATTAACGAAATGATTTATTCGTTAACTACAGATTCTGCCACCACAGGGTAAGGCCTATGTTGTGTCTTACAAAACACTATGAAAAACTACTTTCACCCACCAATCCATACCATTGCCCAAGTCAATGATAGAAAAACATAGATGAGAGTGAGAAGATAAGTTTTGACGTTTTGTTATGGGGCTCAACGACCAACTACCGCGCATGGGTTAAATAAACGTACCATTACTTAACCTACGTCCCACATTCCAGTTCTTCGATCTCGTGGAGCCTACTATTTCATTGCAAGCAACAGCAATATAATACTTGATTAGTCTAAAGCCATTTTCAATAGGAAATGATAACAATGAGGGGGCAGAACGAAGGGCTCAGGCGCTGAGTGAGATGGTAGGAGCAGAAATCTAGTGTAGATGGATGAAAACTGTGACTTCAATCACGGAATATACGGAAATAGGATCCCGTAGAGCATGGGCTTTACATCGCAAATTTCTTGGATCGGAGGAGCGCTTAGTCTATACATAACCCTTCTGGCAGTTTAAATTCTTGAAAATAAAGACAGAGCCGCAGATGCGACTTCTAGACTTTTTTACTGATATTTCTTAGGTGATGTGAGTCTGAAATAAGAGTGATGCTTGAGATCATTAATGGAACAATATGGGTCATGGGTGTGAAATAGTCGCCTGCGTGTGCCGGTACCAATTCAACAGTAATTGCACCTGATGTCGCATAATCATCATGGAAAAAGAGATTAGATCCACTTCTATTCAGCATCAGGCTAGAACGAAGAAAACACACGCCATCATATTTTCTAGTTGATGAGTTAAAAATTCGCAATGCACGTAATTCTCCTCCAAAATTCGTTATTTTAAAGTATTAATGTATCAGCAATGGCAACCATCGCACAATCTCACTTCACAAGATTGGTAAGATCCTTAAGCACGTACATTTCCGCAAAAACTTCCGTAACCGATACAAACAATCTGAGTGCTTGTGACATTCTCCGCCCCCCAATTATTCCGGATCGAAGATGATCTTCTAATTCCTGTGCTGTCTTCAACATACATGCTTTTTCATAACTAGCAAGTGCCAGTACTTCTTTCTTGAGACTTTTCACACTTATTGGAACGCCGTCCCGCATCTCGTGGAACTCGGGAAAGTTGACAGTGTTTAGATTTCTTTCCTTAAAATCACGAGCGATCGATGAAAAGTCGTTGTACAGTCGACTCATGACCGCAAGATGAGAACTCAACTCCTGCGCCAGGTATCTCTCATATGCCGAAGAAAGACCAGAAAATTCATTCGTCGTACTGTTACAACTCAGAAGACAGGTGTAAAAAGAGAAGGACAAGGGAGCAGAAATATGTTTCGAGGCAATAGTATGAGCCCAAGAATAGTAGGGAAGCTGAGGGTCAGTGAATATCAAGACTTCTTGTTTCTCCCCTGTTTCCTGTGATGCCAATCGATTATTATCCCGGATTTGAACAATGTGCGCAATTAAAAAAGCCTCCAGCTCAATTCGCAGAGCATGTTTATCGCCAGTTGCGGCCCCTGAAATATGAGGATGATTCATTACAAAGCTTATGTAGGTTTCAAAGACAGCCTTGACGTCAAGAAGGAGCTTTGTTTTGGATGAGGTTTGAATTTTAGGTGGAGTGATCATACCATCACTGATATCAGATCTTGGCCTTTTCGCCCGAGCTTGAATAATGTCTCTGTCTGTAAATTCCTCTAGTAAAGTATCGGCAGATCGCTTTCTCTTCACGACTCGAGTTTCAAAAGCAGGTAGAAGTCTGCATGTAGAATGAGAGTCGCAAATGGCTTTTAGTGCGACTTCAAGAAGTTTAAGATCATCATCAGCTAGTCCAATAACCATTGACTCCATATATTCATCCACCAGAAAATCTAGGAGGGAAATTTCCATCATATCCCAAAGAAGATCTGAGCTCAGAAGTAGTTCTTCACAGTTATTCACAAGGACCCAGGCCACTGGAATGTGTTCCAAGTATTGTTCTGATGCTTCTTTGTTGACCGGGAATATCTCGAGCCTGGTAGACTTCAACTGAGGTAAAAATATGAGGCCTTCTAAGACGCATGCTTTGATTTTCCAGCTTTCTTTGGAGTATTTGGGCAACTTCCGATAGAATTTGGTGAGACCCAGAATTTTTGCAATATCTGGACGGAGACTTTTGAGGTCATCACTCCAACCAAACGATTTCCGGGATGCTTTGAGAGCAGCAAGACAATAAGATCTCAATAAATTACTAGATCCGTAAGTGACCTTCTCTACCCAGATGTACTGTGGCTCGGACCAGCGATCAATTCTAAAAGACTTTTTTAGAAACTCCTTTCCTGATTTGATCGCCGACTCGAAGAATTCTTCAAGTGCGTCCAAATAAGGAACATCCGATAGGGCTGTAAGTGTGGATACTGTATATGCCGTTACTTCTATGAGTCCCCATGAGCCGTCTCGGCTTTGACTGAAGAGTAGTCTATTCAGGATTTGAACAAGTATCACAGGGATTTTGTGATACACCACGCTTTTTGGGAGTTCTTTCAGTAGGCCTTTGTCCCAGAGTTGTAAAACACCAATAAGTGCTTCCGACAGTAACATCATGGAATATTCTGGGGATAAGTTCTAGAAGAGAAGATTAAGCGTGAGTATCTAAATTGGTGCGATAAACATACCCATTTGTCCTTGATTTCGCCTTTCCACCAAGAGTCAGAGAGAAAATTGGTAATAGAACATATCCACGACTGGTATTCACAAGGGTTTGGTGAGTGGAGTAAGGCTTTTAGAACATTGCAGTTGGCGCTAAAGCTGGAATTCCTCTCCCCAAGATATGTTTGGAGGTATCCTTTGGACCCGAATCGAGACAAAAGAGGGCCTGGGGAAGCGAATTCACCACACAAGTACAGAGCAAGTAACGACTTTGCAGTGTCATCCGCATCTGAAAGCATAGCTTCTGCTATTCTCTGTTAGCTCTTGTGAATGTACCGGGTTGACAAAACTCATTATTTAATAGTGGACAACGCTCACCAAAACCAACGCATCCTTCATGCATATCTAGTTGCTTCTTGAGATAATCGATTGTCTCTGATATATTCACTTGTCCCAGATCCTCTACAGTGAAGCCATTTTGCAAGAGAGTGGTCGTGATCTACATCGCAGAGTATTATTAGCATCTGCAACATATCAACAGCATAGGGTACGAACCCAAGTGATCTCGAACGTTGTACTTGGAAAGGCACTTGGGACGCCACCACTACCTCGTCCACTACTGTCAAATATACAAGCGCGAAGGAAGTCCTCGGCTTCAGGATCCCAGGTCGATATATTCATCAGATAGGCCGCTGTTAATGATGGCGAAGCCAGCATGCCGCCAAATCTCTTTTGATGCCCGAGACGATTAAAATCGATTATGCCAACAAAAGCCTCCAGAGAATGAAGAAGAGTAGTTTGCGATTCATCGTAAAGAATTTCGGGATCTAAATTTGCCATCTTTTCTTTATTGAGACGCATGAGATGAGATCTGCTGGGAAATTCAAATTTTCCGTCACAATTCCCAAGATCTCGACCGAGTTTAAAGCGCTGGATGATGTAGGATGGTATGGCTCTGGATATCTAATCACCTTAACGGCTTTCCAGCCGTTACAGGGAGCGCCTACAAGCTATTCCATCCTAAGGTTGTGTACATGCTATCAATTGTTGTATTCGAAGGTATGCTTGCCTTAATGATGTCGAAATCGTGAACGATGCCTTTGGCAACCTTCGCATGTAGTCATATTGCTAATAGGATCCAGTGGGCTCAATTGTTTGCGCCGCCTCGCCCTCGTCCCCAGTATTCATTATTGGTCGAATATTCGCAGGTATTGGCGCCGCGGGTATACTTCAAGGTGCACTGGGGATTATTACCTACATTTCTCAATTGGAAAAAAGTGCTTTAAATATGTCAATTGCCATAAGTGTTTTTGGTATCAGCATGTGTATTGCACCAGTCATGGGAGGTGCACTAACTGATCGTACCAGTTGGCGATGGTGTTTTTGGATGTAGCCTTCTTTTAGTCTATCTTCATTCAGCTCCCATGCTAACCGTTCTTGTAGAAATGTACCTCTTGGAGCACTTCTTTTAGCGCTTGTGGCTGTATTTCTGAAAATCAAGAGCATTGAGAAAACAGCCCGAAATCTCCCTCTTGCTATCAAGCTAAAGCGTATGGATCCTATTGGAATTATCATTGTTATCGCCTCTGTTTGTTGTCTGTTTCTTGCACTTCAATTTGGCGGAGTGTCATCACCGTGGAAATCATCAAGAGTTATTGGGCTTTTCACTGGATTTGGCTTACTACTCATTGCTTTTGGCATACTTCAATGGAAACTCGGAGAAAATGCCACAATCCCGTTAAGATTTCTCAAGCAGCGGACAGTATATATGGGTTCGGCGTTTCTATTTTGCACGAAAATGGTGAATTATATTGTAAGTTTTCAGGTGCAACCCCAATAACGTGTGTTGAAGTTTGAAGGAAATGTATTATCTACCATTCTACTTTCAGTCTGCTCGCGGATCATCACCTGTTCGTAGCGCAGTCGATTATATTCCTCTAGCTCTAGCCGAATTATTTGGTATCATGCTATCTGGAGCAATGATCAATAAGTTTGGACATCATGTAAGAAAAAAAAAGACATCCTCTCCTGAATCATCCACAGCTAACATAATGATTTTCAAAGATTCCATTCATTCTTATCGGTCAGACAATTTGTGCAATAGGAACCGGGCTCCTTACCACACTCAATATCACTACATCGACTATAGATTGGGCTACGTTTCTCGTAATTTGTGGGTTTGGTATCGGTATGGGCATAAATGCACCGCATGTTGCTATACAGGTCAATGAGAGAGTTTCTTGAATGTCTGTGAAGAACTTAAAGCTAATGATAAATAGCGAGGGGAATGTGTTTGTAGCAAATGGTAAACAACAACCCCTCAAATCTTGAACTCAATACTGATCTATCCTCTGTAGGCGTGGCAACATTTTTCTCTCAACTTGGAGGGTTAGATACAAAAGCTATAAACCTTTTACAGTAAAATCTAACATCAAACAGATCCATAGCAGTCTCCATCGGCAATAGCTTCCTAGTGAATGGCTTGGCCAAAGAAGTTCCACGACAAACGAGTGCCATTTCTCCACAGGCGGTAATAGATGCCGGTCCATTGGCGGTTCAAAACATCTCGGCAGATAGCACCATCGTGAACGCGGTGCAGGAATCATATGCAAATTCGATCTCCCACGTCTTCATTTTCGCAACAGCAATCGTTTGCTTTTCGATGCCGATGGCTGCTGGCATGGAGTGGTTAAACTTAAACACAATATCACAAGGAAGAAAGCACGGAGAAAGAAAACATGAGAATTCGAAAAATGAGCATTGAAGAATGAAGTGTGTCAGGAGAAAGTTGTATCTTCCGTTGAATAAGGGACTATTTGTCTTACGTTCAATCTTTTTTAATAGTCCACTAGTGGTTATTATTTTCTTTAGCTAAGAGTATGGATATTCGCACCCAGAAGAATTCTTAAAAGCCCAGAGAATACAATACTTCACTAAACAATTGACTGCGCCTAGTGTTCTGAAAGAAAATTTGGCCATCTAACTGAACAGCGATCTTGTATTCATGTATGAGATATAAGTTACAGCACATTCAAGCCTTAGTACAACTCATGTAATCAGACCAGCAGTAAACTCTAGCTCGTCATCATAATCAACTAAATATGTTCAGAGATGTCACCAGAAACTCATACGGTATGATTAATTTAAGATATGTTTAAATTTCCAATAGAAAACTGCTCCAGGTATCCAACTCATTTCCGCAATCGGTCTAGATACATGGAAAAATTTTCACCGTTTAGTTGTGGTACGGAAGCGATTGAACTTGATAACTGCTCTCTACTCGAATGTGTCTTCCCGACGTGTTATCTGGTCTATCTCCTTCGCTGTCTGATTCGATATCAACAGTTGCATCAGCGATATTATCGAGCGTATAAGCAGGATTGTTTGTTCGCGATCCACAATTTGTACGACTGAGAACGCTTTTCCTAGATTGCCCTGTTAAATTCGTCCATGTTCCACCTTCTTTCGAGCGAAATTTTTTGATCAAAACAGGTCTCATGACCGGAAGACAAGCATTCACAACTCCTAGGAGGGGCTTGAGAATGGCGAGTGCACCTACTGAAGCATGACTTTTTGTCTTGTTTGCAAAGTCTACGGTTGTGATATCTCGAACTCGATATCTACGCCGCACACGATGGTCAGATAATTTATAGAAAGGTACATTGCAGTATGTATTGATTACCACTTTAGTGGTGTGGATCAAATTATTCCGTCGAACCAGCCCGAACATTACGCGGAATCGTACAAAAAGAAAGACGTGCATAATATTGAAACAACCAACATGTTGCTATGCATATCTTGGTAACCAATTAACTAAAACTTGAAAGAAAATCGAAACACCACACTAAATACCAATGCAATACGACTGTGATGAGAAAAATCCTATAATATATTCAATAATAGAGATCGCAGACAACGAGAGGCATGGGTTCGTAATTTGCTATTGTATCGTAACCGAACTTCCAATCAGACGAAGTGTACTCACACGAGCCCCCTCCTCTTAGAGTTACAAGTTCTCAGTCTAAGTAAAAAAATCCATCAGGAAAATCTTTCCTGACAAAATCACGGAGCCATGGTCGAATTAGCAGAAATTTTCTTTTCATCGAAACTGTTTCTAAGTTTTGCGGCAATCGGTCTGGCAAGTACTTCTTGCACGTGCTGATGAAAAGAATGATGTGCTAACACACAAGAATAACAGTACCCTTTTGTCACGGTGGTCTACAATCTCTACTTCCATCCTTTGCGAAGATTTCCAGGACCGCTGCTATGGAGGTCCAGCCGGTTGCCCTATATTATATCTTTGCTCCGAGGCAACCTCGTCTTGGACCAGATGAAGATCCACGAGGAGTATGGTGATGTCGTGCGCCTTGCACCAAATGAGATTTCTTTCACAAAAGAAGAAGCCTGGAGTGATATATACGTACATCGCTCCGGGCATGTTGATCCTACTAAAGATCCAGTGTGGTACAAGGGTAAAGTTAAAACCGTGAAACAACCCCAAAGAATCTTTCGCTAATCTGTTCACAAGCACCGGATGAGATGCCACAAAACATTGTGACGTCTCTTGACATGGAACGTCATGCGCGATTTCGAAGAGTTCTAAGCAGCTCTTTCACGGAGACCAGTTTGAGAACTCAAAGCCCTCTGATTGAGTCTTTCGCAGACTTGCTCGTTGATCGCTTGACAAAGCAAGTTACCAATTCTAAAGCCCCCGACAATAGTGCGACTATAGATATGGTACAATGGGCCAGCTGGTTCACTGTTGATGTCATCGGCGAACTTGCACTAGGCGAATCCTTTGCTTGCTTGGAAAATACTGAGCTCCATCCTTGGGCAGATACTTTGAACAATTTCCTCAAAGGTATGGTTTACGCAGCTGCTACTAGATAGTATCCGCTTGTCGAAGCTTTGATCTTCAAGCTTCTTCCAAAGAGCGTAATGGAGATGCAACGAAACCATTCAGAGTTCGCAAATGATCGAATCAATAAACGACTTAATATGGAAAAGCAAAAGCCAGACTTTATCGCCTCTTTCATGAAGGATAATGTAGATTTCCACAAGATTTCCCTCGCAGAGACTCAATCAAACTTGGCCATTTTGATAGTGGCAGGTGCTGACACAACAGCAACATCAATGTCTGGAACCATGCTTTACTTGGTGCAAAACCCCGAGAAACTAAACAAGCTTGTGTCCGAGGTTCGGACAACCTTTCAGAGCGAGGAAGAAATCACCATTAAAGCTGTCCGCGAGCTAACCTATCTCAATGCTGTATTGCATGAAGCATTAAGACTTACGAACCCTGTTCCTGGTGGTCTTCCGCGTATCGTCCCTCGAGGTGGTGATGTCTATGCCGATACATTTGTTCCGGCGGGAGTAAGTGACCGGTCGATTTTCGTCAAGTTTATCAAGATTGCTGACTATAATAGACGAGCATCTCCGTCCGCCCTTACGCTATGAATCGTTCTGAAAGATACTTCTCTTCACCAAATGATTTCGTACCTGAACGATGGCTCCCAGAAGGAACTCGACCATCCAAATTTAATAATGACCATTTTTCTGTTAGTCAACCTTTCAGCGTGGGTCACTCAAACTGCATTGGTAAAAATCTGGCGTGGGCAGAGCTCCGGCTTGTTATAACGAGACTGTTATGGGCTTTTGACGTCGCCGAATCTGGGCAGAGACTTGATTGGACGAAATTGAAGACTCTAATGATTATCCAAAAAGAACCTATAATGGTTAAAATCAAGATTCGAGAAGGAATCGATGGGCTTATGAAGGGCTTATAGACTGTTACCGGACCGGGGGTGCGCTCAAGTAGAACAATACTTCAAGACATACCTGCTCACAACTATCCCTTCAATATATCTAAAGCCACTGAGTGTGTTCTTCAGAATTGAAGAAGTTCCAACGTGTGATGTACAAAAAATGGCACTCTGGATAAAGTAAACTGGCATTCAACCCCACCCATATCATCCACGTTCGTGTGTTTTATACTCACACGTACGCATAATTCAGTTTTGTTCAAGCAAGGCACCATGGATGGACTGTGGAGTTAAATGATGTCACATCATATCATATCGCATTGTATTTTATTCATGGATAATCACTTCTGATCATAATTAATTGAGTTAATCATGTGTTTTATTGGTTGAAAAAAATCGAAGAAGAGTCAGAGGAGGGAGGAAAGTGTGTCTCTGGTATTCTATAATTAGTTACCTAATTATCTATCAGCAGGTAAGTTTTCATTTTGGGTGAAGTATTGCTCGGAACGGTCTCAAGACAACATAAAGCAAGCAAGCAAAGAAGAAACCAAAACCGATTTCAAAAATCAGAGATCTAACTCACCTATTATTTCATCAAATAATTTTCACACTTACCCTACTTACTCATCTATTTATTGAAAATCACTCGGATAATAAGATTCCCAAATCTCCTCATTTCCTATTAATCTCAAAATTCTGTATTTGTTTTTTTTTTTTTTTTTTTTTTTTTTTTTGAATTCCCAATTTTCCTCATAAACCCTTCCCTTTTTTTTATAAATACTAATTTCACAAAATCTAATCTCTCATTTATTCTTAATTTTTCTTAATTTTTCTTCTGTTTATTTCTTTAATAATATATTATACTATATTATTATATTATATATTATTTGAAAAGATTGTAATACTTTTTTGTATTATAAATATAAGATTAATTGACTTTTAATTATTTGATTAAATTATATATCAATTTTTTTAGAAAATAATTGAATATTATATTTGATAATATTAGCTTTATAGAAAAAATACATTTAATCAATTATTCTAATATTAAAAGATTAAAGAGTAAATAGAATATTAATATAAATTACTTTCATATATTAAGTCGGTTACCCTACTTTCAAGCCAACAGGGTTTTGGGCTACTCTTTTACATAAAAAATCGCTTTTTAGGCCTATCGACATCTCTATCGATATATAATATATTTGATAAAAATTCATATATATATAATTTAAATCGATTTAAGCTTATTCTGACATTTTCAGATTTTCAGGTTTTTTCTATATTGAGATCTAAAGCTTCAAAATATCAATTTTTTAATTTATATAGAAATCACATATAAATTGAGAAATTCTATAAAATCTTTTATAACTTACTAATAATAATCATTAAAAAAAAACTATATATTTTTTTGAAAGATTTGAATTTAAATCTATATAGAAATTCAAAAAAGAATTTAGAAGAATTGAAAGATACAGAGATATAGTATATAGTAAATTTAAAATAATATAAACAATCTCTATTATTTTATAAGTGTCCCTTTAAATATTTATTTATAAGAAATTTTCTTTTTTTTCTAAATCTGTTAAATTAAATAAAATATAAATTTATTATCAAAATTTAAAATTTATCTTTAGCAATTTTTATTAGAAAGTTATTGAACATTTTATGAAAATTTCAAATTTATATAGAATTCCTATACAAATTTGAAAATCGATATTTTGAAGCTTTAGATTTTAATATAAAAATCCTAAAAATCTGAAAATTTCATGATAAGCTTAAATCGATTTAAATTATATATAAATAAATTTTCAATAAATTCTATTTATAAATAAAAAAAATAAAAAATTCCATTTTTAATACAAAAAGTAATCGAAAAGTGGCCCAAAATGAGGGTGGCCAGAAAGTTGGGTATCCGACTTATATTACTATAAAAATACTTAATGTGAAATCGAAAACTCGAGAAGGAATTAAATAAAGAAGATTTCTTAAAGGAGAAGGATATTTCTAGAAAAATAGTAAAGAGAATCTAAGAAAATTAGCTTTTTAATACTAATCTTCCAATCAAAAAATAATGATAGAAAGATATAGAGATATTGAAATTTCCCAATATATCAAATAATATAGATTCAAGTTTTTCTCTAATATTTCCCTCAAAATAATAATCTTCATTATCATTTCTATAATTTATTTAAACTTATATTATTTATTCTCTTTTTTAATAGATCTATTTCTAATATATGTAATAATATTATTAATCTATCTAATTCAATTTTTTATAACATTTCTTATATTATCAATAATATTTTAAATTTCCTTGTAATAAATGAAATAAGTAAAATAATTAATACTAAACTAATATTGAATATATTCTTAATTAAAAATATAATTACATATAATTTTAATAGATTCTTTATTTTCTTCATTATCAAAATTGTTTTAAAAAATTACATAAATATATTAATTTACTTACAAAGAATTTATATTGAATTTAATTAATTTTAATAACATTTGAAATAATATAAAATAGAATATCGAGAAAAAAAAATTAATAATTATAACATTGATTTACTCAATTTAATTAAATATTATATCTATTACATTTGATATTTAATATGTTTTAAAAACATTTTTCTGAATTCGAATTCAATGTCTTTTGAATAACAACACTCAAATATACAAATCACTTCAAAAATTCTCGAGTTCAAATAGACATTAAACAAATTCTAATTTAAAACAATTAAATAACAATATAAAAACAAAATAACATTTTAACAATTTGGATAATCAAATAAAAAAATCATTTATTGATTTATTATCATTTACTGAAATAAAGAAATAAATACCTTATAGGTAATTAGAGCAATTTAGATCGGTTCTATATCGGATATTCAATTGTATTACAACTAGTGAATTCATTTTTTATGATTTTAATTTAGACTATAATTCTTTAAAAGAAATTGTATGGACAAGGGAATTTACTCAAGGGAATTCACTTCAAAGGATTCACTTCAATACAATGACAACTGTATTAAAGGTATTAGGCGAATGCGAAGGAGACTAGCTCTTTCAGTAGTGTCTATATAAGGCCTACTATTTCCCTCATTAGCTAGCTCCTTAGATTGAATACAAATAGACATTTAGGGGCCTACACATAGTGGGAACCACGTCTTCCGTATCTCTCTCAAACTAACAGAAATATTTAAATCGAATATAAATTAAACGGTTGTCAAACTCTCAACAGTTATAAAAAAATTGTAGAATAAATATATCGCTTAATAATTTTGAAAGTTGGAATAAAAGCTATTCAAAATAATACTAGGAGTTCAATCAATCATATATATACTCTCTATCCCACCCACCTCCCCTATTAAAACCATACTCGATGTCACCAAACTAAACTTTAGCTAATTTGAATTATTCTGAATTCAAATTTTTAAAATATGTTGAATTTGAAGTTCTATAGCAATAGCGAATTCTTTATATATAAATTTTATGTATTTACTGAAATATTTGCTAGCATATTTATTAATATTAATTAGATTGACAAAGGGAAAGAGGATTATATAAGGACGTACCCAGATTTAAGTTTTAAATCTAAAATATATCGGATAATCCCTATATTAGCTTCAATTTATTCAACTACTTATTGTTTTGAACTATTTAGTAGCTTTAACCATACTAATTTACTTCAGAATATTGAAAACTACAGTTTTAATTTAAATCTAATAGGAAACGGATTTCAAAATTTAAATAGTTGTATAACAAATACATTAATTCAATCAGTTGTATATCGGTCCTAAAAACTCCCCTTTTTCTATACAGTAGTTTTATAAGTATATTATAGATTATATTTATTAAATCTCAAAACTTTTATATTGAATTAATTATTTAGAAATAAAATATATACTTTTAAGACATATAAATATAATATCTTTTCAAAAAAATCAAATACTAAAGTCCCTTTTTAATATAATTTATTATTGATTGATTTATTTGAAAACTATATATATATATTTTCTAAAAGAGAAGATGAAATAGAAAAATATATTTTAAAGCAAAATCTTGATATTAATATAATAAATATTTCAAAATTAATAATATTTCTATATAAATATATACAAAAGATTACTAATAAGAATATTTTAAATCTTATTATTTGTATATATTCCTATAATATGTTCCTATAATATTTTATTTCCAGAATTATATTTATCATAATATCATTATATTATATCTGAGTTTTTAAAAAGCTATAAAATTTATTATATTCATTACAAATAATACTATAATTATTAGTTTCTAGTTATTAGATTAGATAATGATTCAAAAGAATTAGAAAAATTCAAGGCTGGATTTATAAAACTATTCTAATGTTATTGAAATTTATAACTTAGTTTCTTATAATTATTCATTTGAGAATTAAAAAAAATAGAAATAGTTAATTAATTATATATTATGTTTTTATAATAAAAGATTTAATATAAATTGTAAGAGTTCTAGTCCATGCTTATTATACCCCTATAACAAATGTAACAAAATGTTAGGGAGCGACCACCTGATAGGGTTTATATAATAAATTTATTATTTTGAAAATATTCGGAATATTTTATACTTTCATAAATTAATAATAAAATAAATCAATCTTAATATTATATTCCGAATATAAAAGTGTCTTATTTTGAGCTTTTTATTTATAAAATAAATTTGAATAAAAATAATTATATTTTGAATTCAATCTCAATAATTAATTCAATTATAACTATATACTTTTAGTATAATTCTATATTTATAGATCTATATTTATAGGACTAGCTTTTTTCTGATTGGTAAATATTAGGTAGATCTATATAAGATGGGGGTAAGTATTAGAGAGCGATTATTTAATAGAGTTTATATAATAGATTTATTATTTCAAAAGCATTCGGAATACTTTATGCTTTTATGAGTTAGTAGTAAAGTAAATCAACCCTAATACAAAATCCCTACAAAAAATGAGGTTTTCCCATACAAATTATTATATTAAA